TTTAAAGGCGTTAAATTTGATAAACGTTGAGTGCGCCATCCGTGTAAGTGAGAAATTCGTCTGTGAAAACCACGAATTAGCGATTAGAAAATGTCAGATCGCAAATCACTCGCACAAGTCCGTACAATCTGGAAATCATTTTCTTACAGATCGCTAATTTGTAATTTTTGAAGCCTGAATTCGGCCCTAAAACATAAAGATACTGATTCAAAACGCTTTTAATCGATTTGCTCCAAAGAAATCCCTCATGTTATCTATCTAGTTCCATTGCATTCTCCTACTGCATTCGATTGCATAGCAGTCATTCCACACCGTTTAGTGTTGAATGACAGCTACTTTTATAACTGAACAATTTTTCTCTGAAGAGCAGTCGACAGCTGGACCACTGTGATTGCAGCTCACTTAGAGTCAATGTTAAAATGTTTCATGATACATGAACTGCAGTAACATGGCATTTTAGATACTACGATTTTTATGCAGGGCTGGGTCCCACCTGACGTGTGTCGCACAGTTACTTAGGCAACATTTCACGAATGAACGTCTTACAGGCCAACACTTCCCCTCTTCCCACCAGTCCTCAACCTCTGTGACTTTTAGCTATGGGGTTTTCTCAAAAGCACTGTTTATGGTGATAATCTAAACAATTTGGCAGAAATGAAAAATGTGATACACTGACATGTCCGTAACATTCCTCCTGATATGCTAAGAGCTGCTGTTGAGAATGCAGTAACGGGATTTAACATGCTTTCGGAAAATGCTGGACGCTACATTGAACATGCTTTGTAACACGTTTCGGAAAATATTAAACATATTTTAAACAGATGTTTTCGTCTCTTATTTCATTTATCAATCTTGTATACAGCGCCATTTTCCCCTGATGGTGAGTTTTTGAACTCTTTTTTTTATTTTCCGCGGAAAATAAATTCCCGTAACCTCCTTTACACGATTCCCAAGTTTGATAATATTTGTTACGGTAATTTTCCTTTTATGACCATTTCAAATTTGAACTTTAATTATAACCACCATGTAAATTAAACTTTAAAAATTTGACAGTTTGGTTCAAGTCCCAGCTTTTAAAAATATATATATAAATATAATCTTTTATATTAATTCTCTTAGAAAGAATGTTTTTTTAAGAAGCTAATTTTTCTCTCGCGTTATAGATTGTATAAAAAAAACATGATCTTTAATATGATTTAGATTGTTTCAGCCGATATAAGAATCGGGTTACTCGGTGGTACAGAATAAAACCCTGCTGGACTGTTTTATTTCTTTGTCATTTAGCAAAAATCTTTTAATTAAAATATTTATCCTTTGGACTTTCGCTTTAAACTTTTATTTATAGTTAAAATGACTAGAAAATGAAAAGCTGTCTTCGAGCTGAAACGCAATTCATGTAATTGATATTTTTTAAAAAATGACAAGAATGCAAAATTTTATGGAAGTGTAACAATCGAAAAATCTTAATTTTCTGTGTGGTGCACTGAAAATAACTGTAGAAGGAAAGAAGAAAAATTAGGGAGAAAAGCAAGCAAAAATTTGCAGGGAAATTTGACTGTCAGACATACCAAGATGTTTCAAAAAGTTGGACGCTTTTGAATATACTTTCAGGATATTTCAAAGAACTTAGGTGTTTAAAGAAAAAACACTTGGACGTGTACACCAGCAAATACCATCAATTGAGCTTGTGGTATCATAAATCGTATCATAAATTGAGAATCCTATGATTTTCTCATTCGAATTATTTGAATATTCAGGAGTTTATCTAGTGATGTATGTGGATGTCACCTAAAGACGTTTTTTTTTTTTTCCCTCCTGATGAAACAGCGGCCGAGCGGTAAAGTCGCTGAACACTGGTAGTTCTGTCCGAGGTCCGAATCCCACGAACGGGTTGGCTGCATGGGTGTTTTCATGGTTTCCCCATGTGTAACGTGTATACGAGCCAGTTTCCCTTAGAAAGTCCTCCACGAAAGGCATCCCTCCCCTTAGGCAGATAGCCCTAGTTTGCTTTGCCATAATTAAATACACACCACTACATTAAAAATCATGTAGCTTGCCAATCGGGAGTAACATGAAAGATACGGCGGCAATACTTGAATTGCTGTTACGGTACGCTGTTTCTAAATTTAGATGGTCATTCCTTAATTAAATAGCCCACCAGCGGCCGAGCGGTAAAGACGCTGAGCACTGGTAGTTCAGTCTGAAGTTTGAATCCCGCGAACGGGCTGGCTGCTTGGGTGTTTTCGTGGTTTTCCCCATGTGTAACGTGTCTACGAGCCAGTTTACCTTAGAAAGTCTTCCACGAAGGCATCCTCCATTTAGGCTTATAGCCCTCGTGTGCTTTGCCATAATTAAATAATCCAATCCAATCCTTAATTAAATATAATTGATTTGTAACTTCTACTAGAGCTGACGGTAAAAATTGAAGTGCAAATAAATAATATCGTGTGCAATCTTGATTAATATAAAATTAAAAACTTTTGCATAGAAAAATATTTGCATTCAGGAGAAAGTTTTTTGAAATATTTGCAATTACTTTATAAGAAGGATTTATTAATAACCGTAATGATTACTTATTTATATACTGATGATTAGGATTCAGTTCTTGACAATTACATTCCAAATTTGAATTTTAAGGATATAATGAAATACGCTGCGAACAAAAATACATTTTAGGATAAAAAATGAGTTGGTTTTTTATGTGTTAAAACTTCTTAAATTCATTTAATAAACATCGTATCCTCGTTGTATTGTTAATTGAATCCAGAAATGTTGGGTTTCGTTATATAATTATTCTTACTTGTTCACAGAAGCTGCTGACTTATCCAGCCATTAAGTAGCTGCAGATCATTTCTACATAACCATTGAACTTCCACTAATTCAGTCTCTAGAGGGTTGTATGTTTATATCATAATTTGACTTATATAATGATTATTCTAAATCTTATGTTTCTATAAAAATATACTGTGCTTTAAAAATATGGATGGTAGTATCTGCCGCTCTTTCAGCCACTTCAAAAGCAACAGTTTGTTTAGAAATAAATTATTCAGTTAATATCATAAAATTCAAATAAACATTAAACGAAAATTCTCAGTTTTAGACAATTGGATTTAAACGAAGTAAAGTAGCAGACGATGAAACGCCGAAGGTAAAAATTTACTCTTATTTTTTTTAAAAAAAGGAAAAAAGAGAGAAATTTTAAAAAATTGTTAAAAAATTGAATAATATCTATAATTTAAAAAAAAAAGAGATTTTCATATAGTATTAATAAATATTATTACGCCTTATTGAGAGGAAAAAATCATATAATTAATTCTCCGTAAAATTTTACTTGAAATTTAAGGTTAAAAAATAGCTGTGGCAATTCAGTGTAACAAAAATCCATAGACCACATTTGGCGCTATTATCGCTCAAAAAAAAAGATGCCAAATTTCAAAACGCGAAAATATGTAAATTCGTGTATATCTTAGAAAATTTTGAATAAAAAAGTCTAATTTTTTGCAGATATGCTTAAAAATACACCTACTTTATGATGATGGTAAAAAATTTTATAGGTTATAATTCAAAATTTTTTTTGAAAAATTTATAAAAATTATTTTAAAAATAGAAATTTTTAAAAATAAAACACAAAAAAATGGGTAAATTTTATTTGGAATGAACCTAAATTTCGAAATGTGAGAGAAAAAATCAAAAAAGTTTAATAAAAAAAGAGATATTAATAAATATTTGCCAAATTCAATTAACATTGAGAAGCTAAAATTTTGAGAGCTAATATTTTAAAAACTAGCCGTACGATTTTTACAAAACTTGGTATTCTGGCATAATTTGAGTCGTAGAATCGAAACATGGAAAAAAATTGGTATGTTATTTCAGAAAAAGTCCGATTTTGTGTGAAAATACCTATGTTAGAATAGTGCTATATATAAATCTAATATATATACTAAGTCGCGCTTTCGAGACATGAAAAACGCAGTTTGAATTTTGTCAATCGGCCCAGTAGAACGGGAGATATAGCACTGTCCCATTTTTTTTTTTTTTTTTTTTTTGAGCAGTGTACACAGAATTAACAGGAATAAAAAAATTTGTGACAGTTAACAGAATCATTACTTAAGAACTTTCTTAAAATTGTCAAAAATTATTAATATCTGTAAACTGTATTTAGTTTAAATTGATTGCCTTCTCTCATAAACGCATATAATGCTGCTATCTAAATTGGTCACAGTCTTTAAAGTGATGAAACAAACATCTGGTAAGCAAACATTATCTGGCATACTTAAACTAGATGCCAAATATTTGACAATAACTGGATATTTTAATTACTTGAATGAACCTTTTTTTCTATTTAAATATTAATAACAGTTTCTAACTTTCTTTTAAATTTTAAGGAGAACTAATTGATTTGATGATTGGTTTTCAATATCGATTTAATCACTGGATTGATTTTGATAGTTTTATATCTTCATTTTCTTTGAAAGGCTCAAATAAACAATTTTCAACTATTAAATACTCAGTAAATCACTAAATTCAGTAACATATAAAGACATAGATCATGTTTTGTTAAAATGTTATTAGTTAATTTCAGTATTATTTTATATAGAATTTGATTAAAATGAACTCCACACTTGGCAGCTGGATAACTGAATAATTGGCTTAAATGTAATGATATTCAATATCCGGCTGATTTGACACTAGCTGCATCTGTAAATCTCAAAAATCATATTCCAATTTTGTTTATAATTAATTTCATGTATTTAAAGCAAACTTATATTTGTAGTTTTTGCATCATTATAATATATATTAAACTGGTTAATTTTTCTTATACAGTACATTTCGTAATAAATAAATTTCAAGGTAAAACATTTTCTTTTTCCCTCACATTAAATGCTATTCAGCTCTACAATTTTAGATGTGCTAAAATTAAACATTCCAGGATTTCAATGCAATATTTTCCATAAGAATCTATCTTTAAATAATGACTTAAACATGACGGCAATACTCACATGTCCAAGTCTGGGCATTTCCCACAGAGATTCATTTGTCACTTTGTTGAAAAAATATGGCCTGTTTTCTCGTCGACTCCAGAACTTCCGCCAACCAGCCTGTAGTAATTCTGGAGGAAGATCATGCACAGGATCATTTGACCCATACTGATTCGGTGACATGAGAGGCCCTTGAATACTCTGGGGTGAAGGCACAGAGTTCACATGAGAAGCACTAGGCATTTCTGCTGGAACAGAATTGTGCCGACGAAGTACAGGTGATGATATAACTGAAACTGAAATCAAATATTCACTTTCTAGAAAAACATAATTTTTATACCAGAAGTTTTTCATGAATACTTCACATAATATTTAAAATGTAATACCATATACAGAAGTTTCCCTTCCTGCAATTCAATAAATAAATAAATTTGACTATTTATGCATTAAAAACATAATTCCAAATCACACATGAAAAAAATTCAGGGTTTCATTAAGAGAGTTCAAATTTCCCAAAATTGCCATGATCACAGGTATTTTCTTGCTTTTAATGCCAAAATACCTCTGGTACTTTATATTAGTATTTTAATATAATATATTGCCTTCATATTTTGGACATATTTCAAGATGCACATATATATATATACACTTTCTCAAAGATGTCACAAAAAAGATGTAAGTATAATAAAAATGATGTTTGTATAATAAAAAGGATGTATAATAAAAAAATAATAATATAATAAAAGATCCCCAAAAATACAGTTTCGATCCATTTATTTTCAGACCAGTAAAGTATTTATCAGGTTTCGGTGTAAGACTTTGTAAAATCAGTATACAGTTCGGCTGTCTCATCCACGACCACGAGCGCAAAACATGCATGCACCATTAGGACCGACTTATTCTCAAAACAGGGTGGAAGGATAGGGACTTCCTTTCCCTCAAGCATAGCTCTTTTCGGAGAAGACAAGACCTTTCATGTTGCAGCAAGTAATACTGCCGTTTTGGGCGAGTCTATGCGTTTTGGCAGAATGCTAACCAGGGTTGCGCTTGAGACGGTCGAACTATACCTTCCGAATTGGTTGGATGCCACGATTGTTCTTGATTTTTTTTTAGCAGAATGTTGATTCATATACTGGTCTGCAAAACGGTTAGTTTCGGTAACAAAATGAAGGAAGAGCAGTTTACCAGAAAAGATAAGTGGGTTTGAAACATACGTTATATGTTTCTTTATTCCTGACACCTACTACAAACAGTAAACGAAAACAGAAGACACAGAATAAAAAAAAATATGTTTTTATCACACAGAAACACAAGCAATAACCACACAGTCATTACTTTCACCGCTTCAAAAACATCCCCCTCTGCAATTTCTCTCCCCCCTCTTTTCTAAAATAACATCCTCCTTCCCATCAAGGTCATTGTGGTGTTGCAGTCCAAAGCTTTGTGAATTATTTTACTGGTAGCAGCACAAAGCAAATGATAGTACTTCGGAAGGGCATATATATATACACCTGGGGTAGTTAATGCATCGGCTGAGCAAGATATATATATATATATATATACGCCCATGGTAGTTAAGGGGTTAAAATAAACAACACTGGTTTTTTTATTGATGAACATTTCATAAGGAGTTTTACTCTTATGACACACCTTGTTGAAATATCCAAGAGCTTCTGCCCACTATCCTTTTCTCATTTTACAATCATTAACCATAGCTTTAACTACATCTAATGCCATTTCGTTAAATCGTTCACACATACCATTCTCTTCTGGCATGTATGCGCTTGTACGTTCAACACTAATTCCGTTTTCGGCTAAGTACCTTTTCAATTGCCTGCTACAAAATTCACCACCATTATCAGTGTGTATACTAATTAATTTTCTATTTGTCAATTTTTCCATTTGCATATGACAGTTCTTAAATATAACGAACAATTCAATTTTATTTTTCATACAATATACTGCTACTAATCTACGATAGCAAGGAAATATTTACTCCCATCTTTACATGGAACTGAGAAGGGGCCACTAAAGTCTAAATAAACCCACTGCAATGGTTTTTTGGATCTCTTAGGAACAGTTTTTGAAGTTATTTTACTAGATTTAGAAATAATACAAGGTTCACACTTCTTCAATACTTTTTTTTTTTTTTTTTTTGTTTCTGGTAAACCCTTTTTGCTTTGGATTTTACTAGTATTTCTGTATATAATGAAAATTTACGTGGCAAAATCCTTGATGCCATACCTTCGCACTGTCTACTTTATTTAACTTTCCAGTTTCTATACCGTAACCAGCTTCCTTTTTAACTATTGCATACTTAAGTGGTTGCAAAATATGAAGGAAGAGCAGTTTATCAAAAACGATAAGTGGGTTTGAAACATCCGTTATATGTTTCTTTATTCCTGGCACTTACTACAAACGGTAAATAAAAACAGAAGACACATAATGGAAAAAAATATGTTTTACTCAAACAGAAACCCCAACAATAACCACACAGTCATTACTTTCACCACTTCAGGAACATCCCCCTCTCCAATTACTCCCCCTCCCCTCTTCTCTGAAATAGTACCCTCCTTCGCATAGTCTGTCAAGGTCATTGTAGTGTTGCATTCCAAAGCTTTGCAAATAATTTTACTGGCAGCAGAACAAAGCAAATGATAGTATTTCAAAAGAGTGTATATATATACGCGTTTCCGAAATACTATCATTTCCTTTGTGCTATAGCAATATTCTGAAATACTATCATTTGCTTTGTGCTATTTTATAGTCCGTTATATCGTTTTGCATAACATAACGGTTGAGAATCGAGTATTTAATTGATGTCGTGAAGTTTTAGTGGCATCACTGTTTTATTGTATTATTATGTTTTATGCATCTGACATCACTGTTATTTCTGTCATTCTGAAGTTTTTATGTAAACAATAAGGCACACGTAAAGTTTCTTTCGCCTTTTTTCCTTATTAAAGTCCGAAATTCATTTAACCATCACTCTGTTTCATAATTTTATAACAGGTTATGGGTTTTAGCGACGTTTAACTGCGCAAAATAAAGTAACGATGCCTAAGTTGACGTACTTGAATCATGGATTTTTGACTTTCGGTTTTGATTTCAACACTACCACCTGAACAGTGTGTAGGTAGACGCTACAGTGTACCGATAGCATTTTTTTTCCCTTCATATTTCCTGGTTAATGACAACGTAATATGGAAGCTAAAAATTTTGTTCAGTGTACCAAATTGGAAATTTTAAATAAACTACTTGTTTGTGCTCAACGATTGTGCAAGCATCTTCAATAATTCCCTTGTTGAGCCAAAAGCATCGGCAGAAGGTGCGAATGAAAAGATGATACGCAACTACAACAAAGCCGAATGCTGCTGTGATCATTCACACAAATGTATCACCGAACGTGTTAAATTTGATCCGTATGCAAGGTAATTCTGCACCAGCGATATGGAATGAGTTGCTAAGTAATTTTGAGAAGGTGTCAAGGGTGAAATTATCAAAAGCGGAATCTGTAATATCTATCGAATTATCTATCTGTATCTATCGAGAAGGCCACGAGGTTGTGGATAAAATCAAGCAGTTTCTTGTTCAGACCAAGATGGTATAAATGTAAGTGAAGGTCACAGATAGTGGTCGTGAGTTTGACAATAATAAATTGTAAAACTGACTGATGACGCAGGCATCAAGCAGCAAATCACTATGCCATATACTCCCGAACAAAACGGATTGGTTGAAAGTGAGAATCATACAATAATGAATGCAGTTTCCACTATGATCAAGGATTAAGGCTTACCACAGTTCTTACGGCAAACAGCAGCATCTACAGCTGCCTACGTTCTCAATCAAACCGGACCAAGTAAGACCACGGGGAAAATCTCCGTTTGAGGAATGGTAGGACGCAAGCCAGTAATCAACAGAATTCGAGTTTTTGGATCAGCCGCATTTGTACATATAACAAATGTCAACACAGGTAAATTAGATGACAAGGCTATAAAGGGCTATTTCGCTGGTTAATGTGATGACGATGGGTATCGCATTTTCATACCATCAAGGAAGGATGCGATAAAAAGTGCCAATGTAGAGTTCAATGAACAGCAAATCAGTCCTACTTCACAACCTTCAGAAATAGCATCTAATATCAGTCTATTAAGCGGTATGAAATTTATTTTGGAGGATACACACGATGATGCAGACACACAGGGGACTGGTGATGTGTGCACTGATGAAGACAAACCAACACAGATGACTGCGCGTACATTGTAAGACTGTTCAGCTATTCAATGGCCTGTCAGATTTAACGACTACGGCGTGTACAACAGCATTTTGAAGTTAGAAGAACCTAAAACATATGACGAAGAAACAAAGTCCCCTCAATCCGCCTACTGGAAATAAGCCATGGACGAAGAAGTAGCGTCGCATGCCAAGCAATGGAACATGGCAATTTGTTGAGCCACCTAACGGAAGTAAAATCCTTAACAATCGCTGGGTTACAGAGAGGATTAACATTTTATTATTTAAATCACCTTTATTTATTGAGCTAGTGGTGGCTCTTAAGAAATGTACCGCCAGTGGTTTCCTTCATTGCACTACTCTCATATGAAAAGAAATTTTTGTTCAATTTTTCCTCATCAGCATTTCTTAGTGCATTTAAAAAATCTATAATCATCGCCAAGCGTAATGTTAGCAGAAAAGGTTGCCTTACTCTTGTTATTCAATTACTAATATAAAAAAAGTTTAGACATCATTGCATGAGTTATTACTGCAGCTGTCATGTATTGATAAACATGCGGTGTTGAAAGCAAAATGTAATAAATAATGACTCGCCAGGTTGGCGTCAGTGGTATAAAATCGGTGAATGTTTCGGTTTGAGGTGAATTTTTCGGCCAAGTAGACACTCAGCTGTAGAGCCAAATTATTTATCTCACAAATTTTATGCTTACATGATTATTTTTTCATAATGATGTACTTTATTTAGTGCCTAATTGAAATTAAGAAATGGAATTTTTAAGCGAAAATCTCCACACGTTTTATTATGGAAGGAAAAATAAAATGCGCATGCGTAAAGCATACCCCCCCCCAAAAAAAAGGTTTGTGGCTTTGAGGTCCGGATTTTAGATCATTCTGGATAATGGATGTCCGGATTTCGAACTTTGTACTGTATAAAATTTATCAATATTATTCTCCCATTATTTTCACAATTCATAAACATGTACAGAAAGTGCATTCAAATATAACTCAAGAGTATCCCAATACAGTAACATACAGTGACAGCAAATGTAAATGATTTCCAAACATACGAGTACATAAATGCAGACATACTGTAATAATCAGAATGCTAAAATCTGTTCACAGATATGTAGCAAAGGTTTTTCTTCCAATGAACTGAGCATGTACACAAATGGGGTTTTATACTTTAATATTTTTCTTCTTTTACTGCACTGTTTAAAAGAATAGAATAAAAGATTCTATAACTACCCAGAGAGAGCAATTAATAACCATATTCTCTTATAAATCATAAGAAATTTGTCTGTGCTACTAAAAGAAAAGCAAATGACAAAATCAAAAAGCAATCATAGCCCTTGAAAAACAGATATATGCATCATGTACATCCTTTGTCAGAAAAGTTTCAGGACAAAGGTGGTAAAAAAAAAATATTAGAATAGAAATAGAAAATTTGATTTACCAAGTAATGATCCTAGCTGCTACCACAGAAGTCCTCTTGGCTATCTATACATAACTGCCAAAGTTGCTGAAGTTCTTGGAAGCAAGCAGGGAAATCTTCAACTGTGATGCTTCCAAGCTCATTTGTCACAGCCGGTTCGATGTCTGCAATAATCTTGATGAAGCTTTCCTTGCAGTCACCTTTTCACTCATGGAAACTAGAAAAATCATAATAATCTTTGACACAAATGTGGGATCACGTCTGGCTCTATCCAATAGTTCAGCAGAAATTTTTCGTCTTTCCTCTTTCATTCTGTTCATTTGTCAGTGAGTAAGTTTCCATTTCCCTAAATCTTAAATTCAGTTCTTCTAATATCAAACACTCAGTTACATGACGGTCTTCTTGCAATAACCGGCTTACACGCTCCATGTTTGCATCAGTATGTTCTGCAGACAGGCGACAAGTTCTGGGATCATCTTGCATTGAATCTTTGCCTTCACAAAACCTTTTGTACTACTAAAAAACATGACTACTTAAAAGTGCCTTGCCTGCATATGCTTACTTAATCCTAATCCACATTTCACTAGGGGGTTTTTCCGAGCTTAACGCAGAACTTGATGTTCACTTTTTGCTCACAATCAATATCCATTGTACCTTAACAAATGTGACGACGATCCCAACAGTGTGTTGCTAAGCGCAGCTATGCCACTTAGTAAGTTTGAGCAGAAACATGACCAAGGTTATATCAAGTAAAAATGCATACCAGGTAACATAAAAACAACATCTGTTTATTTTTAGTACTGCAAACTCAGAAGTAAAAAAAAAAAAAAAAAAAAAAATATCCTGGACCTTTTCTGACAAAGGATGTATATTCATCTATGTTACTGATATAGTTTCCATACAATGACAATGTAGTAAGTGTAAATTACATTCACATTTCTGGACATATCTTCATTTCTCATGAAAATTTCGGAATTTCTTGACTAGAAGAATTTTAAAGAAGCATAAGAATCATAAGAATCATAGAATAGAGCATATCAAATCAAAGAAGCATAAGAATCATAATAAATCATAAGAATAGGAGATTTGTCCTATTTGATTTTGTAAGTTTCAACAGAACTTGGACTATATTCACATTACATATGAGAAAAAAACACAAAACCTTATGCAGGCAGCTCAATAAGGAAACAGAACAATTTAAAAAAAAAAAAAAAAAAAAATTTAATGTTCAATTGCATAAAACAGATTGTATTTTGTAATGAAAACAGCCTTTTTGAAATATAGAACCCTATTACAACATTTTAGTAATATTTGGATTCTCAAATAAAATAATGAGCTTTCATTAACTTTATATTCTCACACATCAGGCAAGAAAAAAAATATTCTGAAATTGAATTATGTCAAATGAAACATTAAAATTTTTATAATAAAAGAAATCTGAATTCAATAATGGAAGAAATATGTCCAAATGGAAATATCACACTTTGATACAGTAACAATAATAAACACAAACCAGGTTTTATATCAGGTGTTGGTGAATCAATCCAGTCAGGGTGACCTTCATTAAATTTGTGTTCACCCAATTCTAATATCCTGTTTGCTCCATGATTACGCAGCTCCTCCTCATCCAATGAATGGTTTCTAGTAACAGGGACTGTTGTCATCTTTTAAAACAACACCTAAATTAAAATAATTTAAAAAATTCATCAGAATTAAATTTTTTTAACATGCATTTTCTGAATTATAATGAAATGAATTACGAAATCTAAATACTTGTCATACGCAATTTTTTCTTCCTCCCCCCCCAAATTAGCTTGTTTCAGCTTTTAGAGGTAAATACATATTTTATAATGAAAACAACTCACCCTTACTCTACAAAACCATCTGCTTAGTAAAATACATAAATCTTGCTTCAGATTTCTAGAATTAGCACGGACAGATTCAGTCACCTATTATTATTATTATTATTATTATTATTATTTATTATTATTATTAACAGATACCACATAACCTTACTTGTTTCAAGATCGAAACAAATAAATACAATTAAAGTTAGATACAGTTTCAAGCCTTAAAAATGGAAATATTCATGAGTTTATACATTAATATTCTAATTATTAAACAATTCAATTTTGCTGTAAATAATATTTATTCACCGTAATTTCGTGTTATATTTTCTACTTTAAACAGCTAGTAACAACTAGCTGTTCTCTCTCTTTGTATATATATAGTATATAGCATGAGAGAGATTAGCAGAAACTACCCTTATTCACATTATAAAATGGGTTTATTCTGAACCTTTTCAATTTATGACACCATCATAATGCACTACCACCATAAAACAAAGACTGACTGTGCTAATTCATGATCTTTCAGTCTTTATTAATTCCTTATTGCTGTTTCCAGTCTACATGAAGGGCTAAAGAATTAGTTTCTATTTTTTTCATACCTGGCTGAAACCTTAAGCAAAGTTGCATACTGAATAGTGCAAAACTTAACTTACGGCTTAGGTCAATAAAAATCCAATATTTTTTACATTATTAGGCAAAGTAGATAGTAATAATAACATGTATATTATTTTTATTGCATACTTCAGTCAGAAACTTAATTACAGTTAAATTTCTTCATTGAAGTGGGGGAATATTGTTATTTCCAAGGGGCCAATCACCTATCAATTTTATTGACAACTTAAAAGAACTGAATGCATTTAAAAGCATTTATCAATAGAAAAATTTAGATCTTCTTGTAATACTTTTATCAGAAATATTTTATTTTTTATTATGATTTTTGGAATTGCAGTCAATTCCCGATTTACCAGAGTAATTCTGGGGATTGAGTTAATGCTTAACTAAAAATTGTGGTTAATTCAGAAGCAGTTAAAAAATACATGAAAAAGGATTCCCATGCCCTAATTCATAGAAACATACTATTCAGTTTTATATTTTCAGACAGCTTAATCCAGATAAATTAGATCAGCATTCAAAAACAGCATACCGTGAATAATGAAAAAAATAACTGTCATCAAAAATTATGATATTAAATGCAGGCATTCAAGACCAATTTTTCAGCAGAATTTAAATAATGTCATTGAATTCAAACTCCTGTAACCAACATCCACAATTAATTGAAAATCACAGTTAATTGATATTAAGTTATATAAAAAGCACAGGAAAGAGAAATAACCCTTACTCTATACTTTCAAGCTATTTAATTTGAAGAGAAAAAATTCATTTGGTTATATAAATTAAGCCAGTATTTGAAGTTCCCTCTCTCTCTTTCTTGACAAGCACATAATCTGTTCCTATCTCTGTTTTATTCTCACTTAATGGTGCACTTTATTATTTTTATTATTCTTGTATTTCAGTAGGACCTAACTTTATTTTTTAAATACAGCAATTTGCTTTTAACAGGATATATTTTTTAAATACAGCAATTTCCTTTTAACAGGATATATTATATATTCTAGATATTGTATTCTAGTAAAATTAAATAACATAACTGAGAGGCTAAAAATAAATTCAAATACTATGCCATGCAACAACTGCTATCACTGTCGCTATGACACATATTTTTCTTTCCCTTCTTGTATTTTCCACTGACAGTTTTATATTATGCTAATGATTTTGGATGCTAATTTTTTCCTCATTTTCCAACAAACTTAAACATTTTTTCAGTCAGGTCCAGTTAATGTATAACTCAATCAGGAGTTGACTGTAGTAATTTTCCCATAGTTTCTTTAATAAATAGAAAAATTTTAAAGGGTCTCGTTAATACACAGCCTGGGTAATCCAGAAGTTAAGTACATTTTTAAACATAACAGATTTTTTAAGCATATAGAATTTAAACTACCATTTCCCTTAAGTTACATTAAAACTAGTCTTCATGTACATTGTTTTTAAAACTTGAACTGAATATTTAACTATGCTAAAAAAGCACTTTATTTAATTTAAGTTAAATATAATTAATTCTTTCTGAAGACAGTATAAAACTTCAAAATCAGCAACATTTATTCGAGATTTACATTTTCTTTGTTTCACACTAAAAATAAGTTTTCCCCTCCTCAAAAGCAATAAGCAAGATTTGAACAACAGGAAGACTGAAACAATTAAATATTTAAACTAACCAAAATAGAGGGTAATAAGAGAAAAAAAAAATTATATAAAAAAAACTGATTTGCCTTGATGGTGGCTTTATGACTGACTAGAATCATCATTTAAGAATGAATCTTGTGTTATTCTTGAAATAAAGATGATGTTTTCAGTGCGCTTCAGGGAAAATCTGTAAATAAAAAGAAACAGATTCTATATTAAAATGATTATAAGCAGGAAAATCTAATGTTTATTTGAGTCAGCATTTAATCAAACAATATTTTTTTAATAATTAGCATTTGCAATAAATATGAAACTTTCTTTTAAAAATTAAAAATCATTTTAAAGAATATGAATATTTTCTTTGAAATAATTTAAAAACTTTGAATGCTAAAATAAGCAACATACAAATGTTATGATATTACCTAGGATTTAAGCTTTTATGACATCGAAGTAATAATTCTCTTCTTTAGCAACTGCACTCAATACTTTACGCAGCTAAAAAGAAAAAGGAAAATATAAAAAAATATCATCGAATGAGAAAAACATATATATAAATAATGAGAAAGACATATATTTGAATAGTCAATACTTTTAACAGCCAATCTGAAAATTTTACTAAATAATTTCTGAGCTGGAGATATTAAGTCTCCTTTGGATTCCACAGCCCTTTTGACAGAAAATATATATTATAATTTATATTTATTTTTTAATATTACTAGTATTCTCACAAGAACTATGTATCCTTCAAATTTTTTATAAAAATTTTCCCTTTTTAATACCACTAGCAATCGCACTATAACCTAAAACAGATTAACTCTTTTAGCCTTTGATGATGTTCATCTGAAGTGTCATCCGATACTATCTTATGGTAAAAAAGTTCATAGAAAAGGTGTACCACATAATAAAACTTGTAATACGAATTTGGTGATGTTCACATTGGAGAAAAGAAGTGGTATTGATTCGAAACGTAACACATTGCCTTTGAAAACCCAAGCAGCTGACACTGTGCGAATGGATGTAATGTGAAATTTGAATAAAGAACTTCTTCTGCTCAGTGTACGTGATATTGCAGATCACAAGACTTTATCGGTGTTTATGTAAATTTTACGCTTTTTTAAAAGTGTTGCCATATTGCACTTGAAATAAATCAGAAAATGTGCATAATAAAAGGTAATTTTATTCCGTATTAATTTGCATTTGTTAATCTATTTTTATAACTCTATAACTCTATTTTCTATTACACAGTGCCAAATATTCCCCTAGTGGTGACTTTTGGAACTAATTTGCTTTTTCACGGAATCCTTCGTCCCCCGTCTTGTTTAATCCTCCTACAAAATGTGGTGTCATTCTCGCAAATAGATCGCGCTACAGAACACTGTGAGCACTGTCAGTTTAATTATGGCCACCCGGTATATATACATATGTATACTGATCATATATGACATATTGATCAAGGATCTTGTCTCAATATCTCACGACAGTCAAAGTTCCTCCATGGAACACATACGGGTAAGTGGACCCACTGAGAGAGATCACAGCCCAAAGCATTATTTCACCACCTCTGTAACTGTGTCTTTCCACAATGTGGGATTCATTGTACCTGGTGCTTAATTCCCTACAGATTAGCTGACAACCTGAATCAATCTCCAATGTCAACCTGGACTCATCTGTGAAGAGAACAGATGCCCATTGTTGACTGGTCCAAGAGATATGTTCTCTTGCCCAACATAAATGGGCATCTCTATATGTCCTCAGGTCAAGGGAACACAAACAACTGGTTGTCTTGCATACAGACCCGTACTGTGCAGGCATTTGCACACTGTTGCAGCTGAGATTCTTGTTCCTGTTGCCACTAAATGATCTGCCATGAGCTGAGGCACAGTAATTTTACTCCTCCTTTGGGCTGAAAGAGCTAATTAATGTTCTCCCACAGGTGTTGTAACTCTAGGTTTGCCTAGAACATGTCTTTTAGACACAGAATCTTCAGATTCAAACTGATTTTCTAGTCAGTGGACCACACTACGAGAGACATTGAGACATCTAGCAGCATCAGCTTGTGACATCCTTATTTCCATCCACTCGATCGGCTGCCCCCTCAACGAATCAGGCAACGACTTCTCCTGGACAATGATATACTCTCCTGGATATTGTTCACAAAACTGTAATAACCACTAAAGATCAAATCTTGTGAAGAAAAATTAAAATTTTTGCATTTTTCTTAAACTTTTACATAATTATTCTCTCATATTTTTATTTTTTCAATTATCAATTTCAATTAAAAAATCAGGTAAAAGCACACATTAAAATACAATACACAATCTTCAGAACAGATTACATTAAGTAATAAAAGCCAGCCTCTTTTAAATAATAAAATAAATTACAATTGACCTGTCTCCCGATTAAGCGATCGAGATGCAAGTCGCAGCCATTAAAATATTTCTAATGAAGACTTATTAAAACATGGACACTCAATTAAAATATGACGGACTGACAGACAAACATTACAATTTGAACAAACAGGCTCATTCTCAGGTTTATGTCACTCTAATGTGACCAATTCTGAGGCGAGTCAAAAGAACTTCCTCCTTATGATGTCTAGTAAAATCCCAATGCTCAATTCTAGGCTTTACATTTCTCAACTTGTTTTGAAGTTGAGAAATGTAAAGCATCCCAAAGCTGCTGCCATTTTTTTCGGATGTTCTCTTTAACAACACAACAGATGTCTCTACAAGGGATGAGGCGACTGGACAGTTCAACAGCACATTTTGCCTGTGATATCTGCCAGCTCATTCCCCTTTTATTCCTGCATGTCCAGGAACCCAGCAGTACAGATTTCATATCCACAACTCTGTTAAGTTTATACTCAACTTGAGAACATCCACTATCACTGGATTTTGAGTGTTGCAGGAAAAAGATTCTAAATGCTTTGTAAGCACACTATAGGAGTCTGTATAAACTATAAACTTTTTGTGGCAGAGCTTTGAGATATAAAAAAGACTATAATATATTGCAGTTAGTTCTGATTTTAAGACAGGTTAGGTTAGGTTATTTCAATTACGGCAAAGCCTCGAGGGCTATCTACCTAAGGGAATTGATGCGTTCGTGGAGGACTTTTTAAGGGAAACTGGCTCATATACACATTACACATGGGGAAAACCACGAAAACACCCATGCAGCCAGACCGTTCGCGGGATCGAACCTCGGACCGAAATACCAGTGTTCAGCGACATTACCGCTCGGCCGCTAGTGGGCAGATGTTAAGATAGAGAAAGCATGGTGCAAGCATCTGCCCTCTATGTGATTTTCAATTACAAATGCCATCCCAACATGATCATTTGACTTGAATCCATTATATACTAGAAGATAACTGCTATATTTATGCCTGTGCTCAGCAAAGATTTGTCTGCAAACAATAACGTTGGTGCTTGCCGTGATGGTTGAAAACATTAAGAAGCTGGATACATGCATTTTCTCAAGGTGGGATTTCTAAATTCTGCACTGCTTGGGGAACATATCAAACATATCAAACATATCAGAGAGGGAGAGTTCCTCAATGATAGCGCAAACTCTTAGAGGAAAGGTAGGCACACAGAATGAATGTGTTTCAAGGACTTGTTTCTACACACATTATCAAGTAAACCAAGCTTATTAGGATGTTTCGGTTGAGATAAAATATTAAAATACTGCAAAAGGGAGAACTGCTCATGTCTCAGATAAAGTGATGGTTCGTTAGAGTCAACATGCAGGCTCTGGACAGGAGATGTCCTGAAAGCTCCAGAACAAATCCGCAGAGCTTGATAATGAACAGGATCTATTTTTACCAATACTGATGACCGAGCGGATCCCTAAACAACTGAGCCATAGTCCAGTCTAGAGCGGACAAGCGCACTGTAAATGCGAAGCATAGAGCAACGCTCTGCACCCCAGGAGCTGTTCACCAAGACTTTTAACATATTTAGTGTTTTTAAACACTTTTTTTCTCAGGTTTAAAATATGAGAAAGGAAAGTCAATTTTCGGTCGAATGTCACTCTTAAAAATTTTAATTCAGGTGCAACTGGAATAATTGTACTATTCAGATATAACTTAGGCTCAGGATGGTGACCTCGCTTTCTACAAAAGTGCATGTGCAAAGTTTTTTGTTTGAAAATGTAAATCCCTGTTTGTCTGACCATTACTGGATCTTATTCAGAGTGATCTGCAATTGTCTCTCTATATATCTCATGTCTGCCCCTCGACAGCCAATCTGTAGATTATCAACATATAGAGATCCCAAGATGGTGGGAGGAAGTTCTTTTAATACAGAGTTTATTTTTAAACTGAACAGGGTTATACTAAGTACACAGCCTTGAGGGACACCCTCTTCCTGTTCAAAAACATCCAACACAACAGAGCCAATCTTTTCTTGGAAAGTTCTAGGGTTCAAGAGCTTCTTAATGAAAATTGGTAGGTTGCCGTGCAAGCCACTGTCATTAAGATCCCGAAGTATACCATATCTCCACGCCTTATCATAAGCTTTCTCTATATCAAAGAATACTCAGACAAAGTGACTTCTTACAAAAGCTTTTTGAATGGATGTCTCTAAAACAGGGGTGTTTGTGGGACCCCAAAAAATCCCCTGAAACTTTTTACGGACTTACTACCGACATTTTGGAGTTTCAAGAAGGGGGGAGAGAAATGAAAAATTACAATTATGAAGTATTGAATGACCTAATTATAAAAGTTCAATGAATTACTTTTTTTGCAAAATTAATAACCATAAATTTTCAAACATATAAACCACTACATTTTATGTAAATATTTTAAATTACCTGAATTAATTCTTTAAAAAAAATTATCCAATTTCTGCTGCTTTTTTTTTATTTTCTGATGTTTGTGGGCTTGCCTTTCTTTGTGGTTAACTTCATAATTGCAGGAAGGTTGACTTTTATTTTCCTCATTTACAGTTGAAGAAAATTTCCTCGAGAACTGCACATGCAGAGGTAGAAGCAGTTTGCTTTTCTGCTAATGTAGAAGGTTTTTCAGAGACTTTTATAGGTGACTCATCTGAAATACATGTTTTTAAGTCCTCTTGATATGTTTTCCAACTTCTGTTCATATTCAGTAAGAGATCTTTGTGAATTGGATCAGTGATTGGATTTTTTGAGCCATATTTTTCACATGAGGTTTCTTTAGAAGCCATTAAATCATATTTAATAGTCTGCACTGCATCTAGGGAATCAATCTTAAGAGAGGTTCTATAGTCAGTGACAAGTGTATCCATTAAGTTGAATGCACTTTCCACTAATGGGCCATGGAAGCAGCTAAGGCAGGCTTTGACCAATTTAGCCAATGTAGGATACTTATAATCATTTGTGAAATCATCTTTTAAATTAAAAACTTTAGACCAATATTTATCAATTGTACACTTGACTTGATTTCCACTTTCATCAGATGTGTAGAGCATTTCTTTGGTGATATCAATATCACTCTGGTATAACCTTATTTCAGCTTCTAC